CTGGGCCTGTTTAGGGGATGCTTGAAAAATGAATGTGCGCTTTCTGATCATATTCCACTTGATTCTGATTCAGTGTTTTTCCGGGTGAGGCTTGAGCCTGGGCCTTTTAAAACAGGCTCACCGGGAGAGGCTGATGTGCACCAAAGTTGGAGGATGGCGAGCACGAATTCAGGCGGGGGTGGGAGGGCAGGGCAGGCTGCCGCGGTAGACAACAAGGCTTTGTGAAGGCAGGGCCTCCCATCCTTTCCCCGGAGGACGTGGTGCTTGCCTGGGCTCTGACACCTGGCCCTCCCCAGGCGCTGGGCCCTGGTGATCCTGCCCTGACATCTGGCTGCGAAGCCCTCTGCTCAGGCAGCTGGCACATTCTTCCTGGCCCGGGAAGTGTCTGCCCGGGGCCGCCATCCTGGCAGCGAGCTGTTGTCGTTCATCTCCGAGGTCCAGCAATCGGAGCGGACACTGAGCCATCCGTCTGGATCAAGCCTCTGTGATCTTGGCGCTATTTTCTCCTGTGATCTTGGCGCTATTTTCTCCTGTCACTCACTGGGTGGGGAGGAAGGTGGGGGGAAGCTGCATTTTCAGACATGCGTCAGATTTTCCTGGCTCCTCGTGGAGGAGGGAGGTGCCTGTGAGCCTAGGAGCAGGCAGGCCGAGGGTGGGCCGTGGTGAGGGGCCTGGGGACACCCCCGTCCCAGGGTAGCTGGGCCGGGAGACTGATGTGGCCTTGTCTCTGAAGCGGGAGAGTTCAGGGGGGCAGGGGCTGAGGGTGGAGCTGCCCTCCCTCTGGAGGGTAGGGGGGAGAAGTCGTTGGAAGGGGATCAGCTCATATCTGGCAGGACGCACAGGTTAGTGTCTGAGTGGCTCCCCAAATCCCACTTCATCGCTTGTAATTCAGGCTAAGGCTCTGGAGGCCTTCAGGATGCGGTTTGGGGTGAGGAAAGCAAGTTGAGCAAGAGTGGCTCTGAGACTTGGCATCTGCGTCTTGTAATTAGCGCTCTGGGCCGGGGATGGGAGCTGCCCTTTGCTGGGCTTGCGCTGTTTATTCTTATGTAACTCTCACAACAAGCCTAGGGAACGGGGCGGATGAGCCCCATTTTATAGGTAGAAAAACTTGCCTGAGGTCCTAGGGCGATAATGAGCGAATTCCAGACGCTCAAGGGTTTGAAATGACAGTGTGCTGCGTCTAGGGTATCAGCGTGGAAGTCAGGAGACCCGAGCCAGTTGTGTGACCTTGAGCAAATCCCCTCACTCATGAGTCACTTTCCTCAAGTGCAGAACAGGGGCTGGGGGAGGGCCAGGCGCCCAGTATCCAGCAGAGGCCTAGGGTGGTTCACGGCCTCCTCCGGGGCAGTGTCAGCTGCTCACTGGCCTTTTGGGGTGCTGTGGCTCCTTTACGGACTCTGATTTAGGGATACAAGGCCTATCTGCCATTACCCAATAGAGATTTTTCTTTTCTTTTCTTTTCTTTTTCCGGTACGCGGGCCTCTCACTGCTGTGGCCTCTCCTGTTGCGGAGCACAGGCTCCGGACGCGCAGGCTCAGTGGCCATGGCTCACGGGCCCAGCCGCTCTGTGGCATGTGGGATCTTCCTGGACCGGCGCATGAACCTGTGTCCCCTGCATCGGCAGGCGGACTCTCAACCCCTGCGCCACCAGGGAAGCCCCCAATAGAGATTTTTCTAAAAAAAACCCCCAAAAACAAATGCAATCACTATGTAGTTAAAACAAATGTGTAAATCTAATCGTCCATATTCAAAATGCTAAATCAGCTACTCAAAAGCAGCTTTTAGACTTATGGCCTCATTTGCAAAAGGGGGGAGATGACCTTTCTAGATTTCTCTCTAAATTTCTTGAGCTCTGAGAATCCTTTTGTTGTGGTTTTATCCTCATCCATTTTCTTGTGAATAGGAAACTTCACACATTGCCTTTGCTTCAAGTGATGCATGTTAGTTTAGGTAATTGGGCCTAGAAGGACATTTCCCTGCCACCTAAGGTATTTCTTAAGGGCAGTCTCCTGGAATGACGGGTCATTTCACCATTGACCCTTTAGGAAGTTTACTAAATCCCCATCGTCCTAGGTTTGCCTCTGTTTATTGCTTTGAGAAGACCCCAGGTCTTCAAAATGAGGGCTTCCAGGTTATTCTTTGAGGCCTACGGCAGCAGTTTAAGAGGCCACCAGGAGCTATGGACACCTCAGGTCCCTGTGGGATTGGATTTGTCAAGTTATAAATGAGAAACTCCACAGCTGTGATTTCTCATCTTGGCCATTTTTTTGGTACGCTACTGCCCATGTGTCTTCATCACTTCATTTCTGACAGTGGAGAAGTTAGAAAGCCGAAGAGATTGTGCCAGGGTGGAATATTGCCAGACAAGGTGCCTGTGAGTTTCTTGATGTTTTAATAGTGCACTGACTTAGTGTTTTATAGTGTATGGACATCATTCCGTTTGGTACTCATAAGTGTCCTTTGAAATAGACTGAACAGCTATGTTTTTTTCTTTTCTTTTTTTCCTATATTGTGTGAACCTGTACCCTATTTGTTAAGAAAAGAATTTGAATTTGAAGAATTATTTATATATATATATATATATATATATATATATATATATATAAATAAATATATAAAATAGCTAACACTTGTTCAGGGTCATCTATATACCAGGGACACTTCCAGGTGGTGTAAATCTATTAACTCATCCTTAGAACTGTCTGGTGAGGTAGGTACTATCATTATCCCTCTTTTTACAAAGGGAAAACTGAGGCTTAGCAGTGAAGGAACTTATTCACAGTCAAATGGTGGAGCCCCCAATTTTAACCACTGTACTAGAATACCTCTCTATAATAAATGAGGCCGAGGGAAACGTTAAGTCCACATACCCACAGCAAGAATTATCACTATTTTACAGACGAGGAAAGTGAGCTGAAGAATAGGTAAGTGACTAGAGAATGAACTTATGGTTACTAGGGGGGAAGGGTAGGGGAAAGGGATAGTTAGGGAGTCTGGGACTGACAGGAACACACTGCTATATTTGAAAAGGATAACCAACAAGGACCTACTGTGTAGAACAGGGAACTCTGCTCGATACTCTGTAACAACCTAATTGGGAAAAGAATTTGAAAAAGAAGAGATACATGTATATGTGTAACTGAATCACTTTGCTGTACACCTGAAACGAACACAACATTATTAATCAACTGTAGTCCAATATAAAATAAAAAATCAAAAAAGCAATAGGTAGGTGACTTGCTCAAGGTTGCAAAGCCAGAAAATGGCGTCAACGGAACCAGAATCTTGGTCTTCTGACTCTTAGTCGTGCTTCACTGCCTCAGATAGCATCCTTCTTAAAACGCAAAACATGTGTCTTTCAGAACCTGGCAGTTGGGGCAGGAGCCGTCGGATCTTTGCAGCTGACCTACATCTCGAAGGTAACGTTGGCCTGGAGCTCTGGGGATTCATGGTCCGTGAGTAGGTTGAGGATGTAAACCAGAGGAAGCGTCACACGTCGGGCATTGGCATCTGGGGATGTTGCTTGGCCATAAAGTGCTCCCCTTCCGCGGTGGCCCGTGGAAGCTTGTGGCTGACTGGGGCGGGGTGGTGTGTGGTCAGCAGGTTCTTGGAGGGTGGCCTGCAGCCTCTCACTCCTGGCACCCAGCAGTCAGTGATGCTGCCAGCTCCCGCAAAGGAGGGATGGGGGGTGGAGGGAAGAGTGGGACGTGACTTTGTTTTTGCAATCGGGACAGAAAGGAACACAACAACAAAAAACCTGGTGACTGAAAAGGATTCTCCCGAATGGCGTGGTTCCACTGGTGTGGCTCACGAGGAGTGAGGGCTGCACTGGAATTATATGCATTTCATTGAAGGGCCAAAAGTTAAATTATAATTAAATCACCGTGTTTTCAGAATGATATTTATATAATTATTTAATTATAATTAAATCACTGTGTTTTCAGAATGATATTTAATTTTTAACAACAACAGACACGTGGTCAAACCAAAAGCATGGGTTGAAGTATATTTTTCATCTTCCAGTGCATTGGCAATTGCAAAATAAAAATTAATAAAGGAAAAAAGGAATTTAATATAAGGATATAGAGGTGAATTCAGTGTCTAACATTTTTATTTATTTAAATAGTTATTGACCTGTGATGACTTCCTAGTCTTAGCATTTTGTGTCTTTTTATTGTCATCGTTCTTCTTTTCACACACTTGGTTCTTGGTAGGTTCGCACAGCAGAGGCACTTCATGTTGGCCCAGTACCCAAGTAGCCTTAATCCCTTGGGCCTGTGTCATAAAATGCATGGATCATTAACAACTAACTGTCCCTGACACCTTTCAACTACAGGGCTGGGCTTAGTAACTGACCAACTTGGGGCGAGTGTTGAGGGGATCTCTAGAACATGGTCACTGGATCACTGTGGCGGGGAGGCTACGAGCGCCCCGAGGACGTGCCCAGATGAGCCAGGAAGCCATTCAGCGGCCAGATAAGGGCTGGAGGGTCGGGCGGGCAGGCCGACAGTCCGTCCCCTGGTCCTGTTTGCACAGACAGGGCGAGAGCAGCCCCTCTTCCGTGCCGAGACCTGGGTGGGGCCTGGGGCTGCTTGCTGATGCCCAGACGGAGCTGCTGAATTCAGCTTTGTTCAGGGGCCCCTCCCTGGAGCAGGCACCAGCGCTGAACTGTGGTGCAGCAGTGATAAAAAAAAAAAAAAAAAAAAGGCCGGGAGATTTAGAGCCTCGTTAGAAAGAGGAGCTCTGTCCAGTGAGGAGAGCCAGGTGGCGCCCAGCCAGGACCGAGGTTCCGGAAGGCCCGCTCTCCCCACACACCCCTCACGTCAAGTCTCTTGGGGACCTCGGCTTCCTTGTCCACGTTCTCCCATCCTCAGGGGGGATGAGGCCCTGATCTGAGTGGCCCCTGGCTCCTTTCTGTAACAGGCTTCGGGAGTCCTTGGGCAGCCCTCCATCTCAGCTGGGCCGGAGGTGGGAGCAGCTGCAGGGGCTGCAGGCCAGAGTCTGGCAGACACAGCCGGGTGCCAAGGCAGAAGCTGCAGGCAGTGTCTGAGCGCCTTAGAGGGAGCAGGGAAGGACCTGCGAAGGGGGAAGGGCCTGTGGAAGCAGGCAATTTGCATGCCTTGTGGTTAGAATGTGGCCGCCTCCCGGCCCAGAGGTCGGAGGCCTGGGCCCTCCCCTCTTCTGTCCTGTCTTGCTGAGAGCTCATTAGGTCATTTCGTTAGGAGGTTCAAAGAAAGAGGATTCAGAGAGCGGTGAGCAGAGAACCTCAATGTTAATGAAACTCCAAACCCTCTCCTGTTTGAGAGGGTTTTGTCGTTGTTTTTCCTGATGGGAGACGAGTGAATACAATCTCCTGCAGAATCGTGATGTATAAACGTAGCTCAGATGAGGGTTTCTAGATTTCTCAGCTTGGGAGGCTGCCGTCATTTAGCAGGGATGGTCCTGCCTTTCACCCTTCATGGACAGGAGAGGCAGGACTGGATGGGTTTTGCAAAACCCACAGCTGCCACTGGGTCAGGTTTCACAGAGAGGAGAGCCTTTAACTGCTGCCTGACCCAATGTCAGAAAGCAGGGGTTTTCCCAGAAAAACATTTAGCCGGGCGCTGGTATCACATTCAGCGTTCCCGGTTACTTCTTGTTAACCCCTAGGTGTTCCCTCCCCGAGGAAAGCGTTTGCCCGGCAGTGGCAGCCTGGCCGGAGCGTCTGTGTGGCCTCTTCGTTCAGGCGTGCTCCTTCTTGCAGGCTGGTGTTGGGAAGATGGGGTCCTTCAGAGAGGCCAGCAGAGATAAAGGTTCTTGACTTGACAGAGGCAGGACCAATTCTTGGGCAAACCAGAAAAAAATGGATGCTGGCCTCTGGTGCTACCCACCTCCCCGCTTTGCCTGGGGGCCCTTCTCTTCCACACAGCCAGGCCCACCGTCCCACCTCCAGCTCGCGTTCCGTTTTGTCAGGGCCTGGCCCTTCCTTAACTGTAACGAAGACCCTCCTGGAACAGTGTTCCTGGCTTTTGCAGGAGCGGGGTGTCAGGGATCCTTTCTAAAGCCTGGTGAAAAGCGTGGTCTCGTTTCCCAGGTAAATCACGCATGTGTGATTTCGCCTGTGGCTTCAGGGCCCCTTGACTCCCTGAAGCTGGTCCAGGGACCCCAGCTTAGAGCCCCTCCGGCTGCTCTGGGTAGGTGGCTGCCCCTTCCCCTGCTCTGGATGCCACCTCGTGGGGCAGGGTCTCTGTGGACACGGAGGCCGCGAGCTGCACCGGAGCTCCGAGACCGTGGCCTGCTGCTGCTGCTTCTGCCAGAGGGGCCCCAGCTCCACTTCCGGCCGAGGGCAGACAGGGTGGGGCGGGCTAGCAGTGCCCCGGCGTCCCACGACTTTGCTGCTCCTGTGGTCTGTGCGCGATCTGATAAGAGCAAGTTCCTGAGAGTCTGTCGAGCTGTGGGGCGGCCTCGCTTGCGTCATCCTGCGGGTGACCCATGCCCGTCCCTCCCTCACGTCCCCACCGCCTCTCGCTGCCTTCTCACCGAGGATCCATCCGTCAGCCACCGTTGTGCAGCTACTTAACTGCAGCCAGCGTCAGCCTGTCAGCCACGCTGCTTCTTCAAGAGCCTCTGTTCCTTCACTTCTTGTGAAGAAGGCTGCACGGCCTGTCCTGGTTACCAACAGACGGTAGGGGTGGGAGGAGTGGGGCTATGCCTCCCAGGTGGCAGGGATTCTGCTGGGGGGGGGGCCAGAGCTATACCTGGAGCTACGTATATTCATGGTAAGTGAGACCCCCCCCCCCGCCCCCGCAACCCTGGCCCTTATCTTGGAGGGCGCAGCAACCAGTAGCTATGACTTTGTTTTCTTCTTTTGTCATTCCGGGACTCTAAGAAGGGGACAAGTCATTCCGCTCTGGCTTTGCCAATCGGGAAGCTGATCAGAGATGTTGAGGGTCTTACCCTGGCTCAACAGCCCATTAGGGCTGACCTGGAACTGAGGTCCTGTTAATTCAGCAAGAACTGCTTTGCCAAATAATCCTTCTGTGGTCACCATGAGGCAAATTATAGACATGCACGCATTATTAGACGTGTAATCGGCATACCCCCAACTGAACGCTGGATAAACATACAAAAACAAATGAAAAACCAGGCCATCTCTTTGAAAGCTTGGGTTCCGGTAATAAGCACATTCTCCCCGGATAGGCTGGTAATAAGTTGTGGTCAGAGTGGGCCTGTTTGTCACCCAGCCAGGGTGAAAGGGCCCACAGCGGTGCTGTCTCTTGTTGATGATAAATTGTCAGTGTCGGGGAGAAAGAACAAGTCCCCTAATAAGCCAGAGAAAAGTCTCGAAGCACCCAGCTTTTCACTGTCATTTGAAAGCCAAAGGTAGAAGGGCAGCCGTAAGATAGGTGGATACTGAGGACCAGGATGGCCGAGGCAGTTCTGTGACGGTCATACAGGAACCAAGGTTATACAGGAGGTTAACAAGGTTAACAAGGTTATACAGGAACCAAGGGCAGGACGCATAGGAGCTGTGGGCTCAAGGACCTACAGGAACACGGATGCTGAAGGAGGAAGCACATGAGTCACTGACAGATCAGAGCATCAGAGGCAAACAGGATAAAGGCACACAGCGTGGCTCAGATTGAATTCTGGGGTCTGAATCGCAGGAGAACAAGATGGCGGGGGCCAGGACTCTGCGTCCTGAGGCTCCAGCGCACGCCTCCTGGGAGTGCTGAAGATGTAACGGAACTTGCATTGCGTGTGTCTGTGCTCAGGATATGGGGGCTTACCTTTGCATAAATCTTCATGTTTTTCGGGACTATTTAAACACTTTCTTAGGCCCTCTGTCCTCCACCTCACGTCATGGTAAACATATCAAAATACACTCACATCCCTCGTTGACCCTAATTGTCCGGCTGTAAGATATTTGAAAGGATTTAAATCATTTTACTTTTGGAATGATTTGGCTGTAACTCATTTAATTTATGATTGGCTCTAATTTCTCGGCTGTCGTCTTGCACATCCAAGGATTCTCAGGAACCAAGAAAATCGAAGCTACTAATTATTTTCGAATGTAGTGTGATTTTTGTGAATGTTTAATTGAAACGTGAATGAAGTTGACTTAATGTGTGACATCTTGTAGGCATTTATTTAAATACTTGTCAGTGAGGTTGATATAATGTTATACAGACATTTAATTAAATATTTATTAATGTTGCATTGTTTTAGGCCCCGGAGAAGCTCGCAAGGCCCTCAGCATTTTGCCCATTGTGCCAAGCACGGCACGGCATGTGGAGTGGGTGTAAACAGCCCCTCCTTGGTTGAGCAGCTCCTGTATGACAGGATGGCTCAAGTGCTTCACCTGCACGGTCACATTTAATCCTCACCATAGCCCTATGAGAATGTGATTTACTAACCCTATTTGATAGAACAGGAAATGGGGGTCTGACAACGGGGCCTCCTGGGTTTGGGGGCCAGGTGCTCTGGCACCAAGCCCGGGCTGTACCGCCTGTCCTTCCTTTGATCTTTTATAGGCTGCCACCTTGGTGCCCGTCTTGAGTACCCCGGGCAGTATTAAGGTTAATTCCCAGGTACCGTGGTGGATGCCGGCTCCAGCGAGGTTCAGCCCCCATCAAGGGCAGTCACCTAACTCCATGGGATGGAATCTGCTTTCCTTAATTTGTTCAGTGTATTTGAACCTGAATGAGGTGGGCTCACAACATGCACATACTCAGGAATATACATGTAAGAGGCAGGCTTGAAAAAGCAAGATAACACAGCAGGAGATAGAAAAACCCTTCTGCTTCAATACAGGTATGCTCTCTGATTCCATCGGCCCCTCTCCGGGCAAGTGCTTATTTTCATGGTGAAAACAGTCAGGGTAGAGATAAGGGAGGCTGGTCAGTTGTCCCAGTGCAGTGAGTGACGGGCTGCCTCACCTTTCTGCGAACTCTGATTGGAATCTATGTATCTGTGACAGTTCCACCTTTAATTCGAAGAGCTGTTTAGGGAGCAGGTTGGTGGTTGGGAGAGGAGTGGAATCTTGCTCGTGTGAATGGGGCCAGTGCATGTTTGTGGTCCAAAGAGAAGTTTTTCAGGACTCAGTGGATTTTAAGAGTTTTTGCAAGGATGACGATTCGACACAGATAAGAGGATAGTGATTATCTCCGAGGGGTGAAGACGGGATTCCATGAGGGAGGGGCACACAAAGGGCTTCTAAGAAATAGGACCGATAGTGGCTTATTTCTTGATGTGAATGATGAGTGCAGGGTTTCCACTTAATTATTAGTTCTTAAAATGTTCAAATATGTTTTATATACTCTTCTTTTTGTATAAAGTTTTCCCAATTTAAAAAATTTGAGGAAAAAATTCCCCCCACAACTTTACAACACTGTTGGAAACATATTCATGTTTCTTTTATTTTTCATTTGATTTAGGTGAGCATAGCCACCCCAAAGCAGAAACCCAAGACTCCGTTTTGCTTTGGTAAGTACTGAGCCCAGGATGGGTTTTCTGAACACTCCTACAGCAGCTTCCTCTTTTGAGTGGAGACAGTCCTGTGACCACATGTGACTTACACCCTGTGTGTGTGAGTGCTGTCCCAGCCATGTCCGTGGGTCTCAAGTGATACTCCTTTCCTTGGTCTCCCTGCAAAGATTGTTAACACATGAGACAGAGGCACGGGGGCCAGTGATGTCTCAGTTTTCCCGGCTCCGCAGGGCGGGGTGCCGGGTATCTACCTGAAGTTTTCGGGAACCTTCATCTCAGAGCAGAGTAACGGTGTGCTTAGGAAACGTGGAGACTTGAAGGAGTTGGGGGATCATAGAAAAGGAGGAACGTTCTGTTGAGTGTCCTGTTGCCAAATGAGTGACCGGTGAGAGTGACACAGGAAGCAGAGCTGCTCAGTGGAGGCAGGTCATTGAATCATCAGTATTTAATTGCCTTCCACTGCCTTCTCAGCGCTGTGCTGAGTGCTACGAGCAGATGCTAACAGATAGCTTCTGTTGTCTCTCTGGTTCTGAGTGTGAGCTCCACGAAGGCAGGGATGCTCCTCTGCTTTGTCTTTGCTGTATCCCCGGCACTTAGAGTGTGGTTCCTGGCACACAGCGGGTACTCACTAAACATTTGCTGAATGAATAAATGAATGAACTAAGGGACTCTCTGTCTACCCGACAATGCTCACCTCCTCCAGTTCCGGCTTATTTATGCCTGGAAAGTAAAATGGTCCTTTGATCTGTCCCCTTTCCCAACTTCAGGTTGCTTCAAACTTCTTTTGTGCTCTTTCACCCACTCCCTTTAAATATCATGACCAAGCTCCAACATGACTCTCAGATCTTGTGGTCAGCGGATCTTAAAAAAAAAAACAAAACAATGAACCCAGAAGTAAACTGTTGACTTTATGGAGTGCTCAGAGGAAAGACCAGGTTGAAAATGAGGTCCAGGTCACAGACTTGATCGCAGGCAAGCTTCGTTACATTTCTCAACCACAGACAAGACCCCTAACCTGGGTCAGTTGTGCCAGTGGAAACTAGGGACACTGGGGCCAAAATTATATATGTATCATCATGACGGTCAATCTCTCGGTGCCTCTGAAAAGCTGTCCAGGCGTGTGTCTTAGGGATGGTGGATGAGCTGCCTCCCAGCAGCACACTAAGGCTATTGTTGTTGTCTTGTGGCCAATGGAATAATCCACACCTTTTAAAAATGAGAGCCCACTGCTTCCCAGATATTCACGCGGGTGACTTTGCACCGTGGGAAGCATCTTCGTCTGCGCGGCGGGGATCCTCCGCCCTGCTAGTTGAAGCGCCTTGGTTTTGTGGAGTCTCTGTGTTGTGTGTGTTCTGACCCGGGTTCTTTCTTCGTCCCCGTGCCTTTTGCAGTCATCAACGCCCTCTCGCAGAGGTATTTTCTTCAAGCCAATGACCAGAAGGATCTGAAGGACTGGGTCGAAGCCCTGAACCAAGCCAGCAAAATCACTGTATGTACGATCTTTCTCCTTTCTGGAGGGGGTCAGGGCCTCTTCCCCGCACGGGAACGACCCAGATGGCGGCAGGGGCTTTCCCAGGACCCTGTTCCAGACTAGTTCCCCTACCTCTTCTCACACCTTGTCTGACTGACCACAAGTTGAACTGAGAGTCTGCGTTTGAATCAAGCTCAAGGGGAAGTTTATGGAGTGTCCCCTTTGTGCTTCCTGGGAGGGGAGGGCTCCTGGTCAGTCGTGGTTTGGGTCATTCTGGGATGCTGATTCAGAATGTGGCGGGATTGGAAAATGGATTGCTGACTCCGAGAAACAGAGTAAAGGAAACTCACATGAGGAGGGAAGTCGGAACTTGTCCCTGGCTTGGGGGAGACTCTTCTGACTTTAGGAAGCCACCTGGGGACCAGTCCAGGCCATGCACCGACCTGTCCTGGGAAAGCCTTCCGTTTATAAGCACCAGTTTACTGGCTGTTCTGTGAGGACTCTTGTTTTCCTTGACTCGGCTAACGAAGAACTCCTTTCTTAGAAATACAGAAAAAGAAAGGGAGACGGGTAGGGAGGAAGAGAGGGGGAAACTATGTTTGGAAAAAACTGGGCCTTTAACTGATAATATAGGCAGGCTTCGGGCATGCAATCCACGCTTTGCTGAAAAGCTTGATTTTCTGTATCGTACAGTCAGAAATGCTTGCATTCTAGTGACTTCCGGTAACAACCCTTCTGTGCTGGGGCAGATCATCTTCCCCGGTATCTCAGGGTTCCCGTGAATAAAGTAATGGAAGAGACCTGTGCGCTCTACCCAGCCCTTGTGATACCGCACCCAAGCAGAGTACAAAGCGGATTTGCTTGTTGGCCCGTTATTCTGATAAACGTTGGTAAACCTGTGAAAAGAGAGAGAAATGCCGGGGTGGCATGGGGGAGGGAGCCACTCACTCCCTTCTGCTACCCACATTGTTTGTGTGTGCGGCTCTAGAATGTTGACTTTAGTAAAGGTTTTCTTCATTCAAGTTGAGGTCTTCACCCTTCTGTGTCTTCCACAGTCTGGGGAGTTTCTTTCAATGTCTAATACCTTCTTCTCGTTAAGTGTTTCCTCCCTTGGTCCTGCCTGGTGAACTGGGCTACACAGCCTGCAAGGCAGCGGTGGCCTCTGCCTTGCTGTTGTGCCTTGAGTGTAGAGTTGCTCTAAGCAGCTAGCTCCCCGTCCTCTTTCCTGGCCCCACTGGACAGAAGTGATTGGCGACAGGAGTGGGAGGGAGCGAGATGGTACCGAGAGGCCGGGAGTCCAGAGGCCTGCGGGGGTGGCGCAGCCTCTGCAGAGGCTCCGTAACCTCCAGGGCCTTCCTGACTTTCCTTTGCTCTGTTTACACATCTCTTCGCTCCTCCTGCCAGAGGCCCTGTGTGACAGAAGGAAGAGGAGGGGTACCCTCCTGCCTGATTACCTGCATTTTTATCTTAGGGCACCTTGTGTGCGAAGTGAAGCATCCCAGGGGAGATGCAGAGATGAAAGACACAGACAGCGTATCCAGTGAACCAAGCTTTCTCACGGGCCACATTCATCACCCCTCATGTCACTCCTGTGAGACAGGTGCATTCACTGCCATTTTTAAGATGAGGAAAACGGAAATGAGAGTCTTGCCCCAAATCTAGAGTTTAGTAAATGGCAGAGCTGGGATTCAAACCCAGGACCTTCTGACTTCCAGGATCTCAAAGAGTTTATAAATATATGAAAAATGAGCAGCAGTTGTAAAAAGAGGTTAGATTACACACCACTTTTATATCTATGGCTTCTTGTAGCCTTGTGAAAACCTTAGGTAGGGAGGGCAGGTGTGATTATCTCTGTTTATAAACGAGGCAGTGGAAGTGCCTGGAGATCAGCGACCCTCCCAGGGTCAGGAGCCAGTTTTTCTGCCCGCAGATCACTGGTCATTTAGTGCTGGGTCATTGAGTTCTTATGACTGAAGACAATGGCCGACATAATGGTATTTAAAGAATTGAGTGCGCTCGGAGTATCAGTATTCCTGTGTTAGTTTTCTTGGGCTGTCGTAACAAACTGCGTGGCTTAAAGCAACAGAAGTGTGTTCTCGCCTAGTCCTGAGAAGCCTGAAATCAGGGTGTCGGCAGGGCCCTCCATGTGCCCCCTGAAGGCTCAAGCGGAGAATCCTTGCTTGCCTCTTCCAGCTCCCAGTGGCCCCCGGCCGTCCTTGGCGTTGCCCGGCTAATAGCTGGATCCCTCCATCTCTGTCTCCACCACTGTATGGCCTGTGTGTCTGTGTGACCTCTCCTTTTAGGAGGGCATCAGTCATTGGTCTTAGGGCCCAGCCTAAACCAGCATGAATTCATCTTAATTTAATTATATCTGCGAAGACCTTATTTCCAAATAAAGTCATGTTCTGAGGTTACGGGTGGACAATTTTGGGAGACATTATTCAACTCACTAAAGTTTTTCAAAAGGGTTGAAGTTTGAGCAGTAAAAGTAAAGCACAGCTTTCTCCCCTTCCCTCCCAAGTTGGATTATTCCTTGTAGCAACCTAGCCACGCCTGGTGGGAAGAAAGATGAGTCCTTGCAAATTTCGTTTCACGTTGCAAATGGGAACCCTGTAGGCCTCCCCCATCAGAGGACCCTCCACGGTAGGTGAAAGGGGTCCCACCTTTCACTGGGATTCTGGGAGATACACAAACCGAGAGGATGAACTTGTTTTCAAGATCTGGAGTGTAGTTATTGGTGAGTTTGCCCTCTGCAGGCTGATTCAGAGTCTCAGAAGTGGAAACAGCTTTGCAGAGGCTCCAGGTGGTTGGCCAGAGGCAGCCCACAGTGCAGGGACATGAGTGGTGACAACCAGCGGTTCTCCGGGTGGGCTGACGGGTTGAGAGGCAACACATCAGCCAAGTCACCAGGAGTCCTCTTCTGGCCACCGTGAACGCTGAAAGGCCACTTCCCTCCTTCTTTGCTGGGTTTCAGGAATTCATTTGGGTCATTTGGAGGCAGTTGTGTTGTTCCACGGTGATTATATCTCTGGACACCCCAGCACTAATCCACATCCCTAAAGAATTCTATCTTATCAGAGCAAAACACAGAGAAATCGGAAAGGGTGGTCCAGGTAGGTAGGTAGTGGTGTTTAGCAGTGGGGCAGTTACTTCATTTCAGTGAGCTTTAGTTTACTTCATCTATGAAATGGAGAAAATAAGGCCTACCTGATAAGATCGTCTGAGATGAGAGATAATGCAGTAAAGAGATGGGTACTTTGCCTGGCACTGAACAGAGGCCCAAAGCAATGGGAGCTGCGGTTGTCCCTCAGCCAGAAGGGAAGGACAGGGTGGATTTCTGGCCCAATCTGGAGAGTTGGTGGGCAGAGGTCACCGTGGTCTAAGCTGAGTGCACAGGCCAGGAAGAGGGGCCCTGTCTCCTTTCTGGGGCCCCAGCGTAATCATGATGGTCTTAGTCGTTTCGATAGATGCCAGGGGGTGTGGCCTTTGGTCCCTGTCCTTGGCAGGCAGAGTTCTCCTATGGCTCTGAGCTGAGAGCTCTTTTTTTCTCCCTGTGGCTTGCAATAGTTTATTTTTTTTAATTAAAAAAAAAAAGTATTTATTTATTTATTTTTGGCTGCATCAGGTCTTAGTTGTAGCACGTGGGATCCTCTGCCGCGGTGCGTGGCCTCCTCTGTGCGGTGCGCGGGCTTCTCTCTAGTTGTGGCGCACAGGCTCCAGGGCGCATGGGTGCTGTGGTTGCGGCTCGCGGGCTTAGTTGCCCCACGGCATGGGGGATCTTAGTTCCCTGACCAGGGGTTGCACCTGCGTCCCCTGCATTGGAAGGCGGATTCTTAACCACTGGACCACCAGGGAAGTCCCTTAATTTTTAATTTTTATATAGTTTTTAAAGGTTCCTTTCCATTTGCAATGATGACAAAATATTGGCTATATTCCCTGCATTATACAATATATCCTTGGGCCGTGAGCTCCTGAACAGTCTGGATTCTTAGGTCTTTCTAGCTCCCAGGGCTGTAGAAGAAGTGGAAGAGGATGTTAGTTTTTCTCGTGGTGTCTGTAGTTACGTTCCTGGCAGATCCACATGGGGCGTTGAGTCCTTGTGAAGAACAGGCTTTTTTTTTTTTTTGAATTTTATTTTATTTTATTTTTTATACAGCAGGTTCTTATTAGTTATCTATCTTATACATATTGGTGTATACATGTCAATGCCAGTCTCCCAGTTCATCCCGCCATCTCCGCTCCCCACCCTTCCGCCCCTGCTTTCCCTCGTTGGCGTCCGTACGTTTGTTCTCCACATCTGTGGAAGGACAGGCTTTGTGATGCTGTGGGTACTGCCTCAGCAGCATCAGGGTCTGGTCTCTGTCTAGGTATTAATCGGCTTTAGGCAGAGAACTGGACTACTCTGGGCCTCTCTTGTGATGAAAAATTTTCCAGTATAAATGAGAAATGGACAAGGAGGAAGAAAAGCGGCAACATGAATGAGGATCAATGACCTCGGGTTGGGAGGGTGTTCAGGACTGTGGCGAACTGAAGAATCCGTTCCCCATCCGAAGAGCGGACAGCTGCTTCACTGGAAATCAAGAGTTTTACGCGAAATATCCCAGATTTTAACAGTGGATTGAAAAACACACTGGATAGGACAAATGAAACACAGTTGGGGCAAGTCTACCTTTGGGCCACCAGTTTGCACCCTGTGGTCTCAAACTTGCCCTAAAAATTCCGTGATTCTTGCACCAGCAGTGGTGCTCGAACTCCGTCATGGAGAGGAGCAAAGATAACTCATTCCACAGAAAGGGCTGCATTTGTAAACGTTAGCACCGTTGATAAAAAGTTACTTAGAATATTTTGACAATTAAAATACTTTTGTAGTTTTATTCATATTTCTAACATGTTGAAATTTATATCCTCTATCATTTGATGGCCGTGACACCTGTATGACTGTGTCACTCAGTTAGTGACAGGTCAGGAGTTACACCCCAGGCCCTGGGGCCCCAGAGCTCAAGCTCCCCGAGTCCTGTACCGTATACCACAGGCATCTTACCCACTGCTGAGCGTGCTTTCTCCCGTCTTCATGTTCCTGGCTCCTTTTCGTCCACCAGGTTACTGTTTCGGCATCTCTCCCCTTGGAGACCTCCACCACGCACACCAGCCACGCCAGGCATTCCATTCCAAGTCGTTCCCCTGCTGCTGTCAGTCCCAGCTCCTGTTTATCGTCCCCACGGCACTCACCACGATTTGTAATCACTCTGACTGCTAGTCTTGCTCTGTAGTTTTGCTCAGTCTGCCTGATCATCACGTATGTGGTGTGAGGGCAGGACACGTGTCAGTGTTTGCTGTTCTACCTTTGGTCTCTAGCCAGGCAAGGGCTGACTCATAGTGGGTGCTCCGTACATTTGTTGAGTGGGTGTGCGTGTGGGTGTGCGTGTGCACGGGGTGGGCGTGGCTTGCTGAATTCCTCATATACAGGTTTGGATGGATGGAAGGGTAGCGGGGAGAGAGGCGTCGCGCTCTAATTTCGTACATTAGCTTTCCTCCCCTCCCCCTTCCTGCTGTTGCCTCCCCAACTTTTCCTAGGCCTTCTGTTCCCTGTTAACTGTTCTGTCATTCTTCCCAGGTACCCAAAGTTGGGAACCTACCCCTGACGACCGAAGTTGTCAAGAGCCTAGCAACTCCCCTGGCCCTGGAGAAGAAGCCCCAGGTGGCCTACAAGACAGAGATCATCGGAGGCGTGGTGGTACACACGCCCATCAACCAGGTGCTGGGGCCTGGCGCTGCCAGAGGGTGGAGGGGTTCGGGGGTGTCCGTGGTGTGTCAGTGACATGACAGAAGGGCTGGACCGAGGAAGGGGTGAGGGTAGCGGGGCCAGTGCACATGGGGTGGTCAAGAAAATACCGGCAGTGCAGAAATTGAGGCCACCGCCTCTGAAGCTCTGGCAGTACGGCTCTGCGTCACCCACGGGGACCGGCCCTGTGAAGCCCGTGAGAAGTGGGTCGAGGATGGCTGGAAACAAGCCCCACTGTCCCTAGGCCTCGTCCGGTTTGCGTTCAGTCTTCCCTTTCTCCCGGGTCTGTCCAGCCTCCCCAGCCTTGGTCCGTGAACGCACCCCGTACAGTGCCTTGCCGGGGCAAAGCCAAAGGGTTTTTTTTATGGTTTCTTTCTCTCTCTTTTTTTTTTTAACATCTTTATTGGAGTATAATTGCTTTACAATGGTGTGTTAGTTTCTGCTGTATAACAAAGTGAATCAGCTATACATATACATACATCCCCATATCCCCTCCCTCTTGCATCTCCCTCCCACCCTCCCTATCCCACCCCTCTAGGTGGACACAAAGCCCCGAGCTGATCTCCCTGTGCTATGCGGCAGCTCCCCACTAGCTACCTGTTTTACAGTTGGTAGTGTATATAAGGGCATGCCACTCTCTCACTTCGTCCCAGCTTACCCACCTGGTTTATTTCTCACTTGACTGCCATTGTGGCCCAAGAGGAAGAGATGATTGGCCAGAGAGGGTGGGGTCAGGGGTGTGGCTGCGTCAGGAGGGGGCGGCGCTAATCCTGCAGCTGTTTCCTTGTAGAACGGTGGGGATGGGCAGGAAGGGAGTGAGCCCGGCTCCCACGCCATCCTTCGAAGGTCTCAGAGTTACATCCCCACGACAGGCTGCCGTGTCCCCACCGGGCCCCCCCTCATTAAGAGCGGCTATTGTGTGAAGCAAGGGAATGTGGTGAGTGTCCATGCGGGGGCTGGGAGGGGTTTTGGGGACCCCGGGAGCCAGTGGGTGTGGGCGAGGCAGAGGGGAGGGCAGTTTGCAAGGACGAGCGTGGAGCCAGCCACGCCCAAACCGCCCAAACCAGGGAGAGGCTGGGGTGGGGAGAGCTCCCGCCCCGCAGCTCGAGGTGACCCGAGGAGTCGCCCCATGAGAAGAAGTCCTTGCCCCTGACCCCCAACGTGGGAGCCTGGCTTCGGTGGGGCGGGGTCCCCAGGAGCTTAGAACCCGAACGCACCCCCGGGAATGCTGGGAACTCTTCTAACATCCTGCTCTTTACCCTTTATTTCAGCGCAAGAGCTGGAAACGGCGCTTCTTTGCGCTGGACGACTTTACCATCTGCTACTTCAAGTGTGAGCAGGTTTGTAGTCACTCTGGGGCCCGCCTGAGAGGCCGTGGAGGGCAGAGGCACAGGAGTCACACCCACGTGTGTGTGTCCGAGCAGAGATGTGGGCACACAGACTCCGGGGGTGCTTGTGTCTGACCTCCGTCCTTCTGGTGTGCGCATCTTCATGGTGATGTAAAGTGGCCTTAACTCCCTGCCTTCGTGGTCAGGGCCACAGAGCATCATCTTAGATTTCTTTCCTCTCTTGATTACTTTGAGACCTTGTCTTGTTTGCCACCTGGTCTCAGCCAGTCCTCTCCGATGATGATGGCTGCCTGGTCTGGGCGTTGGGCTGACAGCCTCATGCACTCTCTCTCTTTTTCCCCCCAGGACCGAGAACCGCTGCGTACCATATTCCTCAAGGATGTTCTCAAGACGCACGAGTGTTTGGTCAAGTCTGGGTAATTGTCTCTGCTTATTCTTCTCTGGTCGGAACTCCGTGTGCCCTCTTAACTCTTCTTTATTTTTTTAACATCTTCATTGGAGTATAATTGCTTTACAATGAGGTGTTAGTTTCTGCTGTATAACAAAGTGAATCAGCTATACGTATACATATATCCCCATATCCCCTCCCTCTTGCATCTCCCTCCCTCCCACCCTCCCTATCCCACCCCTCTAGGTGGTCACAAAGCACTGAGCTGATCTCCCTGTGCTATCCGGCTGCTTCCCACTAGCTATCTCTTTTACGGTAGTATATGTAAGTCCGTGTCACTCTCTCACTTCGTCTCAGCCTTAACTCTTCTGTTACTCCCCTTCTGAGACTCTATACCAGAAACTTCTTCCAAGAGCAGGAAGATGTTGTCTCCTTGACATCTGTGGCTGATTCTCCACATCCAAGCTGCCGCAGCTGTGAAATGGCGCTGGGCGAACCTATCCTCTTCCCATCCCCTTACTCTCGCTCCTGAAATGAGCCTATGTGATACTTTTCTGATGGAGAAAAAGAAAGGATATAGAACAAAGGAGAGGTGCTTCTCAGGTGTCAGCTGCTCATCTCACCGGAGGACTGGGCTCAGAGGTGGAGGGGGACTGTGCCCTTAGTCACTTGCTTTTCAGTGCATCTGCTCAGACCCCTCTGTTTATGCCATGCCTCTGCCCTGAACTTGTTATGCCTTTCTCCTCTCCTCATTTTGACAAAGTCCCTGATGTCTTCTTAATATGGGGATGAGTCACAGCAATGCTCTCGGGCAGGACGAGGAAGTATTTTTAATGTGTTCCTCTTTCAACTAGGAAATGGTCACCTTTCCAGTGCCACAGAGCGTAGGACGAGTTTGGGACCTGGGGCCTCTTCGAGTGCTCTCCCATATCCAACACCCATACAGGTGCCCCTGGAACCAAACTTTAGAGACTCAAGGGCATCCGGGCATCTAGCAGTCCTCATTTGGCCCTCAGTCTGCAGTCTGTAGGGGTACTATATGGAATCTCCGTCCCACGGACTGTGCATGCAGAGCCTGCGTCCCCAGGGAAGCTGTTAGCAGCAGACTGACTGTTCTCACATGAAGGCATGGGAGGGTCTTGCATGAAAACGAGGTGTTTTGTGGCCCAAGGAAGGAGGCACTGTTGTGAGCCTTGCAAATGGCAGTTGCAGAGTGTGGAAGATTAGGGAAGTTCCCACCGACAGATTATCGTTCGTGAAAGGTGCTACAGATGGAAGTTGCAGAAGTGTGGCCCCAGCGGTGACAGTGGGTGGAGGAGAGATGAGGCTTGTTCCTGACCCTGGAGGCCCGTGCAGGTTGATGGGTGTATTGCGGCAGCTTAGGAAACCCAGATAATGTTCGTCCCTAAGAGCGCTTTGCACTTTGCCTGAGCCAGAGTCAGACTGAACTCCGAGGAAAAGAATTGAGGGAGTTGAAGATCCTCGGGGACGGAAGTTGCCGAGGCCCTGCAGGTTCCAGGCCTGTGAGACTGGGGTCTCCCAAACCCAGTCACGGGGGTTAGGGCATCTGAGTAGTCAGGTAATGTTTTGTTGACTTGAGTTGAATTGAAAGGCCACATGTAGCCTGAGAAGTAGATATGAAAAGGGTGGGGATTTCCTCCCTGTTTGCGTTTACCTCCCCTGTAGTAGATTACATGATTGTGCTGCATGTGCATGAATAGTTGAAAAGGTTAAACCATCTTATCCAGAAAGAAGAGCCATCTCCACTCAGATACTCAGAAAGTAATTATAATAGCTAATGAAATGCATTTCAAATGACCACTCTGTGACATTCATTGTACCAGGTGCCTCATATAACTTATGAGATGCCTTGTATAACTTATAACTGATCTTTGCGGTAAGAAGCTTGGTAGAGGAGTGCTTCTGATTTCCATTCTACAGTTGGGGTAGAAAGGCTCACAAAGTTTTAGAAATATTCCTAAAGTACCTTTTCCCAGTGGAGTCAGGATTGGGCCCCAGGTCTGTCTGACCCCTGATTGCCGTCCCCGCCCACGTGGGGCTTCAGTCTCATGCTCCTCCTTTGCCCAGGTGCCCATGTCACTGGCAGCGCACCTGCCATTTCCTTCCAAGTCCTGATTCCTGAAGCCAGCCCTGCCTGTGATCAGTCCTTTCTTTCTTTTTCTTTCTTTCTTTCTTTTTTTTTTTTTTAATTTTTTGACCACACCACATGGCATGTAGGATCTTAGTTCCTCAACCAGGAATCAAACCCGGGCCCCCCTGCAGTGGAAGTGCAGAGGCTTAACCACTGGACCACCGGGGAAGTCCCCCTGTGATTAGTCCTTTCTTGGAATTATTCTAACTCTTGGCATATAACACGCAGTCTAACATCTGACTGTAAAGTTTTGCTCTTTTATGTTCTTTCATGGGGAAGGAATTAGATCTTTTGCTCCTTATATGTTCCCCGTAGTGACTGGATGCACAGAGCAGGCATTTCACCCTGTAAATAATTTCGGCTGATTGGAGGTTTGTGGCTGAGCACCAGCTACCTCTCGCCTTCCTCCTTGCGGAAGTAGGGTCCCTCTTCCAAACCTCACACCCAGTTTGAAGCATCTTCAAGTGGTCTACTCTCTCCTTCCCTTTTTCCTCTTGAGCATCCGGTCCCCTTTTGAGAGCAGGGATTTAGGGAAGCTGATGCAGTTGCTGTGTGGGTGGAGAAAGGCTTTGGAAATAAGAGATTCAGGTCCCTTAGGAGAGGCACCTGGTAGTGGAGTAACTAAGAGCGTAGACTCTGGAGTTGGACCCAGTTTCAAATCCTGGCTCTGCCGGTTCCTTACTCCGGTGCCGTGGACAAGTCATGGAACCTCTCTGAGCCTGGGTTTCCCCATCCATAAAGTAGGGAAAGTCTTACTGCCTCATTGGATTGTTGGGAAGATTGGATGAAATAACACATTAAAAAACACAAAGAAGGGCTTCCCTGGTGGCGCAGTGGTTGAGAGTCCACCTGCCGATGCAGGGGACACGGGTTCGTGCCCCGGTCCGGGAAGATCCCACATGCCGTGGAGCGGCTGCGCCCGTGAGCCATGGCCGCTGAGCCTGCGCGTCCGGTGTGCTCCACAATGGGAGAGGCCACAACAGTGAGAGGCCCGCGTACTGCAAAAAAACCAAATAAACAAACAAAAAAAATAACACAACAGATTGGTGGTTGTCAGAGGCGGAGGGTGGGGAGTGGCCGAAATGGGTGAAGGGGGTGGAAAGATACAAACCTCCAGTTATCAAATCAGTAAGTCCTAGGGATGCAATGTGCAGCATGGTGACTGTGGTTGATAGCACTGTATTCTATATTTGAAAGTTGCTAAGAGAGTAGAGCTTAAAAGCTATAATCTCATCACGAGAAATAAAATTTGAGTGTTACGTACGAGACAGTGATCATTTGCAGTGTATACAAATATCAAATCATGTTGTACACCTGAAATGAATATACTGTTTTTTGTCTTACAAATATACTGTTATATGTCCATCTCTTAATAATATATATGTATATAAAATATATATTTAATGGAGCATAATGGACAGAACAGTGTGTGCTTGTGTATATATATAAAACCAATAAAATTTTCATCTACTTGACCCTCAGATAAAAACACTTGAAACAGTGCTTCTCACCAAGCACTTTTTATCAGTACTTCTGAGCCACTGAAGAAACACACAGTCCTAGACGGTGTGGGGTGTGGTGCATGTGAGGCAAGAGGTTTTGGAGGCCAAGGAGCTTTGTCCTGTTAGAACTGGTGGTGGTGTGTACTGGGGAGGGGGATCCATGGGGATGGTTAAACCACTTGAGACCCTCCAGGAAGTGAAGCTGTAGGAAACCCTGTAATGCCTTCTGAGGCAGGGCAGCAGGAGGAATGGCCTGTGGATCCCCTTTTTAGGGTAGGGGGCACGGGTACCTGCCTCAGGGTGAATCAAGTCCTCAGTGGGTGACCAGCATGCCTGGTAACTTTCAGGGTGGGGGCACGGGTACCTGCCTCAGGGTGAATCAAGTCCTCAGTGGGTGACCAGCATGCCTGGTAACTTTCTATCTCTTTCTCTGTCTAGCGATCTGCTGATGAGGGACAACCTGTTTGAAATAATAACCAGCTCCAGGACCTTCTACGTGCAGGTAAAAAGCTCGCTGCCAGAAGACGCTGACGTTCCTTCTCTGTGGGTGGTGTACTTGTAGGCCTGCCTTTCCCTTTGCTTTCTCTTTTATTTTGTTCGAAGTTTCTAGGTGGTAAATTTAGCCCCCGATAGTCAGTCCGACTCCCATTTTATTCTAAACAGGATGTTTGCCAAAAGCTTCCCAACCGTAAAATAATAAGAACGGGTTGAGCCGCTACACTGGGGAATGTGAGTTTGTACCAGCTGCTCGTAGCTGCTGGGCGCCAGCTCAGCAGAGAAAAGGGGAACTGGTCAGTGGTTTCACTTCTCCCTTGGAGGGCATTTATAACCCCGTCTATGTGTGGACAGCACTGTGTGCGGAAGGACAGAAGCACAGAGGGCCCTGTGCGGGCACCAGGTGCACAGACAGCTGCACAGAGAAAGCGATTGTTTGGACTCTGACGGTTCAGCTCTCAGAAGCATCTCCCCTCCACCCACAGCCTTGGAGTTCTCCCAACTCCTTCTCAAATCATAGGAGCTAGAAAGGCAGATTTCTAGCCTCTAGCATGGCCTAGACTTTCAAGGCCAAGTCCTCGCTGCAGCCTGCCTAGCCGCCCACAGAGCGTGCCTTGATTCCTGCAGCCTCACGGTGATGGTGCCCGTCGAGCGCCAAGACTGCCATGGAGTGTGTTGGTTGAAATGTGGGGCTCCCCGACCAAAGCTTCTCAGGGTTCCCCGCGCGCTCCCCACTCAACACCCTCCCTTTCGTGAGGTCGACCCTCACCCATTTCGTGAGCAGCAGGTCCCTCTGAGCGGGTCCCCCTTCCTGAGCCCAGCAGACATGCTAGCAGCCTGAGGCATCTGTGTGTTCCATTCATTTAGACAAGCATCTGGGAAGAGCTGTGGAAAAGTGCTGCTGGGGCCCTAGAGCAGCCTCCATGGCCATTCAGGGACATGTTTGAGCTGTCGGTGCACCAAAAGAGTTTCCAGTTTTTGGACTAGACAGATGGGGCGTTGCCTCATCCTGGGGACCCCGCATTCAACAGAGCGGATCCTGAACCCGAGAGGGAGATAGTCAGGTAAACAGGCAGTTAGAACAGTGTGCAGAGGTGGGGAGGGCGTGTTGGAGAGATGAACGCAGGGGAGCTTTCGGGGCAGTGGAACTGTCCTGTGTGATACTGCAGTGGCAGATGTGTGAAATCGAATTTCACAGCACAGACCATAAACCTTTAATATATGCAAATTTAAAAAATCATTTAGGAGGTCAGGTGATCCTAGCATGGCATGCAGAATATGACCAAAGAACCTAAATGTGTTACAAGTATGAAACCACCTCACTCATGGGGGTGGGGGAATAAAACAACAAAAAACAAAACAAGAAAACAGTGTGAGAAGGGCTACCCTTAGAGTGAGTAGTGGTTGCCATGGGAACTCCCAAGAAGGGTACCTCCCCCAGTCTCAGGGAGTCAAGGGAGGTTTCCTGAAGGAAGATACACCGAAGCCAAACCCTTGGCGGAAGAGTGGCCCAGGCAGAGGGAACAGCAAACAACAGGGGTTAAAAAAGCTTGGACATGAAAGGGGCACAGGTACTGGGAAGCTGATATGGAGGGCCTGTGGCCTGTGGGCCTTGTTCAGGAGCTTGTCTTTTATCCTGGGAGTTAGGGTCCTTGGAGGTTAAGCTAGGGGAGTGACCCAATCAGATCTGCCTCCTAAAAATCCCACTTGGGCAAGTGACCTAAGAGCCTTGTTTTCCTCATCTGTAAAGTGGAGATGAGAGCCCTCGGTCCTGGTCCTGTTGATGGGATGCTGGCGGTGAATGTCCTGTTTGGTGCAGTGTAGGGGACAGGTAAGAAAAGGGTTAGACAGGAGCCAGGGAGAGCAGTTGGAAGGCTGTTGTAATGGTTTCAGTGAGAGATAAAGGTAGCCTGAACTTGGATGGATGGAGAAAAGTGGAAACATTTGAAGCTATTGATAAGTCCTTTCCAGGACTTGAGAGTTGATTGGATGTGGGGTGAAGGGAGCGATTATGCTGGGGTTAAGAGTCTAGAACAGAGCCTTGGACTGGAGATAGTGATTTGGGAAACATGAACGGCAACCAAAAAAAAAAAAAAAAGTTCAGAAGACACTGCATCCATCATTGGCACGAGTGTCTGCACATTGACCAGGACCTTATCATCATTTCTGTCCTACTTTGCCATCTGCTCCCACATTTCTAGGATAAAAGAACACTCACATCCCCCTGAATAAATAAATGAGCAAATGGACAAATCTGTGTATAGCACCAAAACTCAGAATAGAAGGTTGGAGAAGAGTAGAGATTAAAACTCTTTAAGAATATGTGTTTATTCATTTAAAAACAACAACTATAAACTCGTTTATGTTAACACAAGTAACATTTAATGAAAAATAACGCTTTCTAAAACAAAAAAGCAACAGGAGTAGCATTTTTTAAATATATTTTTGCAAATCTCTTTAATGGCTGGTTTATTAGAAGACAGCAGGATTCTCATATCTGCTTCTGCACTCAGTCTGTGGCCATATGTTGTTTTGATGGAAGAGTATGAAGAAAATCTGGCCCCGCAGAGACATGTATTTGGAATAAAGGGATATTTTAATAGCTCTTTCAGATAATTGTGGATCTTCTTTGATTCTATACCGAAACTTGACAAATCGTAGTTTCTTAATGTTTAGGTGCTGTGTGGAATCAGAAGCTGGTACCAATAAACTTTCATACTCTTACATTAAAATCCATTGGTCAGTTTTGCACTCTGAATGGATCATATGTGGCAGGGCTGTATCTAAAGGTGGGATTGGTTCTTGGGGAGAGGTAGGGGTTATTAGCTTGTTGGAAAGGGAGGGCTGCAGAGGTTGGGAATAAGATTGAGAAGGAGATGCCTAAAGCTTTTGGACAGCTGTAATGGAAGTAACCAGAGGTGCATATGGGAAGCCTTTTATTGATGGCCCGTTAGAACTCAGTGCTTGAAACCATTGCAAATGTTATGATACCGGTCTCATCAGGTAATCAGAGCTCATCGGGCTGCAGTAAAACCACAGACTGCAGTGACGCATTTAATAGCCTTTGTTCCTCCCACCTCAAAAAGTGCCCTCATGGACAGGAACCCTACTTTTCCTTTTGAACCAAGCACCAGAGACACGTACACACTTAAGCAGACCAGGAAGAGAGGAAGGTGTAAGCTTGGCACTTCCCTTCTTGTTCTGTTGAGTTTCATGGCTTTTTTTCTAGTCTCTTAGTAATTCACCACAGGGTGGGTGGGTTTCAGCTCTGTGTTTTACTGGTTCATGGGGCTACCTTTGTGATGTGGTTTTAAGATAGTTTTGAGTTTTTGATGAAAGCTAAGCACAGGCTTTCCATAAAAGATAGGTATACACATACACTGTAATGTTTGCATATAATTTTTGAGGTTTCACTTAATTTCTGTTGCCAGTGGAGTCCAGTTCTTAAAACTACTAATAGAGATTTAAACTGTGATCTCAGTAATGTAATATCCTATTTCTTCTCGTGTGGGATCAGTATCTGCTTTTCTCTTTGAATAGTATATATATATATATTTTTTTTTTTTTAAATAAATTTATTTATTTTTGGCCGCGTTTGGTGTTCATTGCTGTGCACGGGCTTTCTCTAGTTGCGGCGAGCAGGGGCCACTCTTCATTGCGGTGCGCGGGCTTCTCGTTGCGGTGGCTTCTCTTGTTGCGGAACGCGGTCTCTAGGCATGCAGGCTTCAGTAGTTGTGGCATGTGGACTCAGTAGTTGTGGCTTGAGGGCTCTGGAGAGCAGGCTTAGTAGTTGTGGTGCAGGGGCTTAGTTGCTCCGCCGCATGTGGGATCTTCCCAGACCGGGGCTCGAACCCGTGTCCCTTGCATTGGCAGGCGGATTCTTAACCACTGCGCCACCAGGGAAGCCCCTTGAATAATGTTTTAAACATTAGTGAACATTAAAATAATGTTTACTACTGTTTATTATCCTCATGGCTGGGATCATTACCTAGGTTATCTGACAGAAAAATGTCCTTAAACGGAATTAGTGCATTAGGGAAGAAATGTAATTAGCAAACAATTTCTGTCTCAAATACTAAATGTTTTAAGAAAGAGATTTAATTGTTTTTCCCATCATATTAGCAAAGATTTTTTTAAAATTGTAATATTTAAAACAAAAAAAATAAAAAATAAAAGGGAATTCCCTGTCAGTCCAGTGGTTAGGACTCCACGCTTTCCCTGCCGTGGGCCCAGGTTCCCTCCCTGGTTGGGGAACTAAGATCCTGCAAGCTCGCACTGTGGCCAAAAAATAAAAAAAAGTTTTTTAACTGTAATATTTAATTCTAACAAGGGTGCATGTAATATACATACATACATATATATGTTTAAATGAAATCTATATTATTGACTAGAAATCACTCTGGCCATATATAAGAAGAGCCTTAAAAGCGTGGATACTCTGGGACTTTCCTGGCGATCCAGTGGTTAAGACTCTGCACTTCCACTGCAGGGGGCGTGGGTTCGATCCCAGGAACTAAGATCCCACATGCCATGTGGTGTGGGCCCCCCACCCTGCAAAAAAAAGCAGGCATACTCTTTAGCAACTTCCCTGGGAGCTGAAGAATCTTAAGTATGAAAAAAACTTTATACACGAAGATGTGAATAGCAGTATTGTTTATATTAGAGAATTGGAAATGATCTGAATGAATTCTAGAGGATCTGGATTCTTGTGTTTGAGTTTCCAGCTGTTAAGTCAGGTGATTCCCAGTGTTCTCTGATTCAGGATTCCTTGCTAAGTGGAGCTGGGGTGAGCACACCTAGGTTGGTTGAGTGATTACTCCTAGAGGAGTGAGTGTTTGTTGACTGTCTCAAAGGACAGTCAGATAGGTGGTCTGTGGCTTGTGGGTGGGGCGTTTTTTGCTATGGTGATAAAAGGACTAAAAGTAGCTTAAAAAGCCCTGGAAACTGACTATTGGACTGTCATCATGGGGGTCTTGCAATCTGTTTAATGAAAACGTTCCATCTCCTGTGTGATGCGGGAGACCTTTGTCTCTCCCTTAGCTCCCATCCCCATCTTTCCCTCTGTCTTCTCACATTTCCCCACCAAATCAACTTCTGTTCCCCTAGAAGGAAAATCTGTAAGAAATGCTATTCTGCTGATGGACAATTTAATTGCCACTGTCTCATTCCAATTCAAAATAGCCTTTCTTCTCCCCCAAATATGTTACCTTATTATTTTTTTTTTTTACAGAAGTTGCCTTTAATTATCTTTTGCTCATATTATTTTAATTTACTTGACAATGATGATAATTTACATGCAGAGGCTCTTTCTATATAATGCACCCCCCAGAGTTGCAACTTGCTGTCTTCTACATTACTTTTTGTTTCCAGGGTCATCTCTATAATGTAATCGACTAGTGAAGTAATTAAGAATTTGAATATGACTTTCTACATAAATTAAGAAGCATGCTGGGGCTTCCCTGGTGGTGCAGTGGTTGAGGGTCTGCCTGCCAATGCAGGGGACGCGGGTTCGTGCCCCAGTCCGGGAGGATCCCGCATGCCGCGGAGCGGCTGGGCCCGTGGGCCATGGCCGCTGAGCCTGTGCGTCCGGAGCCTGTGCTCCGCAGCGGGAGAGGCCGCAACAGTGAGAGGCCCGTGTATCGCAAAAAAAAAAAAAAAAAAAAAGCATGCTGTAATATTATTCTGCTTACAGTTGAAAACTTTTTTAATTAGCAAAGTATTCTTTTGAAACTGAGATTGGAAAATGCAATGTATAATTGGTCACTTTATCCAGAGAAAAGCAATACAACTAAGGTGAATTGAGATATAATACAGTTTTACTTTAAATTTCCTAACTGTAGAAATAGACATTAGCATTTATGGATAATGTTATTTATAATAGAAATAATTATTAATATCTTTTCAAACAACCCAAGGAATCTGAGAGACTTCAAGAAATATAGACATGTGTACAGAAATCCTTAAGAAGGCTGAAAAGAATACAATAGAAAACAGGTAGGCAGTGAAGACCTGGTCACCCTCCCGTCTGTAAACCATTTTATGGGGCTGATACACAAGCATATTAAGAAAAAGTATGTTATCTTACTTGATCCCAACAAGTTGATCCTTTAGGTAAGAATTATCCACAGTTTGAGTATGAAGAAAATGAAATTAAAAAGTTGTAGGGAGAAGGCAGCAAACATATTTATAATATTGGAATTTAAGGCTTCATCTGTGTCCCTCATATAATAATAACAACAACAACGATAATGACTAATATGAAGCCCTTTCTGTGTATTAGGCTCTTTCAAACTGCCTTACCTAAATGAGTTCATTTAATTTTTCCCAATAGTTCTACTTGTGGAACAGGTTAGCTAGCCCTGCTATCAGTAAAATACCTTCTGGAAGAATCTTGGAGACTGTGTCCTGGTTATCTTTTTAGACTAGGGATGGATTTCTCTTTCTGGGAAACCACCAGGTTGTCAGGTAACTGGGAAAAGAAAAGTCCAGGGAAGAGAGAGGGCAGGTGAATTTGCAGCTATGGTGCGTGAGAGGGGTCTCCTCCAGGGGCACCGTTGCTGCCTCTCTTTGGCCCAGCGTGCCAGGGTGTGAAACTGTTCCCCTGGTAAGTGTCCTGCACACACCTAACCAGGGAAGGTTGGTTTGGGGACAGGATGGGGTAAGCATGCAAATTTGAGGGTTTTAAAAAGACTGGTCAAGTATTACCTTGATATAATGCAAAGGGAAAGAATCATTCTAGGGATGGGGAGAGTGAGGGGTATATGTGGAGAATTTTGCAGGCCAGTGTGTGTGATGTTTGCATTCATGTATGCACGGGCATGCAAATGCACGCTGGTAATTTTGGGTGGCTCTGTCAGGGGAAGGTGCAGGGCGACAGAGATAGGTTAACTAATAAAACGTTTCTGGAGGTCAAGGCTTCATTCAGTCTTGGTCCCATCTGTGTGCCTGGTACCTGATGTCACGTGTCACCCTGAGTAAGGTCTCGGTAAATGTTTGCCAGGTTCACTTGGATTCAGCTCCTGTAAATCTGGAAAGCACTGAGAATTCCCAGGGCTCTACCTACTGTGGCTTGGCTTCTGATTTTCCTCTTTCTTCACAGAGCCGCTGCTGCCCCCTTCTGGGGTTGCTCGGTATTTCTGAGGGAAGAACTTTTTAAGGCCTCGGCTGTGTGCCCTCCCTGCATGTTGGTGAGCTTGGTGCTGCAAGTCTAGCAACTCTTGAGGCCTGGATGGGACTCAGGACAGACCCAGATCACTTGTGCTTTGAGAGAAGCCCTATTCCTGGAGAAACCACCTGTCTGGGAGGATTTGGTTTTAATGGGACTGGAGCTGAAAGTGGGATCATTTGTTGGGATAGCTGTGGTAGAAGGATGACTGCACTGGGTGTCAGGAGAACTGGAATCTAGACCAGCCCTAAACCTTGGGCTCTGGCTTTCTGGGCTTCATTTTCCTTTTCTGTAAAACAGGGGGTGAGGCCAGGCCGATTGTGTTCCAGAGGGGGTGAGGGACTTCAGTAGGGATGGGCCTCTAAGCTCTCCCTCTGTCACGACCTCTGCCCTACTTTGAGCCCTTTTATTTATGGGGTGACAAATATGATTTTTCTGGGGAAAAAAATGTCCTCAGAAGTCCGAAAGCCACTGGCCTGGATGGTCTCTGAGATCCCTTCCAGCTCTAACGGTGTGATTTTACGAACTTAGCATTGAGTCACAGGCGTGAAAGCTGAAATCACAGCGCCAGACGTGTCTCTGTAAGTGTGGTGGGTGTTTTGCAGGCAGACAGTCCAGAAGACATGCACAGCTGGATTAAGGAGATCGGGGCAGCTGTCCAGGCCCTCAAGTGCCACCCCAGAGTAAGTCACTTCCTTCCTGTTCACAGTCACTGTCAAGCTCGTGATGAGTTGTCCCGAGTGGGTGGGTTTTATTTGGTGATGTAGGGAAGCAGCCCGGTGCCCAGATGCAGTTGAAGCCCCGGGCTGTCTTGCTTGTTTTTCTCTTTTGACTGGTTTGGGTACAGATTTTTATTTTTTGTTTTTTTTCAGTAGTTGGAGGAAGTGAGGTAGGGTTGGATAGAGAACCAGAGCTTCCGATGTGTCCTGCACATCTCCCTGCCAGGCAGACCTTGACACTTCTGGGGTGAATGCCGCTGGCCGTATTTAATTTCTGTAGACGCGTGTCTCTGGGCCTGTGAGGGTGGTGATCCTGGAGGGGGTCCTCTTCCTGGGACCTTGGGATAAACATTGTCAGGAAAACTCTTACTTTCCTCTTTTTCCCGCCTTTTATTTTTGTAGGAAATGTCCTTTTCTCGATCCATTTCTCTGACCCGCTCTGGAAGCTCCAGCCTCTCAGGGGGGCCCAACTCTGTCTTGTGCAGAGGGCGGCCGCCTCTGGAGGAGAGAAGGGCCCTCTGCAAAGCCCCCTCCGTGGCTTCCTCCTGGCAGCCTTGGACACCTGTCCCCCAGGCTGGGGAAAAGCTGCTGCCCACTGAAGAGACTCCTGAGGACTCTTTCTTCATGCCTCGACTTGGGGAGAGCAGTACTTCTGGGGTGCTGCCCAGCTCCCGGATAAGGCACAGATCGGAGCCCCAGCACCCCAAGGAGAAGCCATTTGTGTTCAACCTCGATGATGAAAACATACGGACCTCTGATGTGTGATGAGGCGCAGTGCCCAGGAGGGAAGGGGAGGACTCAGATGTCCAAGGGGCCGTGACTCAGTTTCTCCACCTGCTGGAGGACAGTCGGAGGCCTTCCTGGCACTCACATCCCTGTGGAGCTCTCTTGGGGGAGGGGAGCATCCAGCTGTTTTTTTTTTTTTTTTTTTAAATCAATGCAGTGTTTTTAATTCGGGAAAGTCACCAGGTTAGACCTGTAGGCTTGCTCAGTGGAGAGCAGGGTGCCTCTTACCTTGACTCTTCCATGGTCCACCTGGTGAGCGGAGGTTGGAAATCCAATTTCATCCCTAACCAAGTTTTTGTTCCTTGTCCTTGTCTTATTAGTTTCTTCCCTTTGTTTTCAGGCCGGGTGCAGAACCTTGAGGCCAGTCATCTGGTTTTATCCTATTGCTGTTCATTGGCTGAAGTTTGACTGTGAAGTAGGAGGGTGGGAACTCACCCAACTGAAACTGGGGGAAGCAGTGGGGGACACCCAGGCTCCAGCTTGGCCGGGATACATTCTGAGGGGAGGTGTTAAAATCTGGGCGCTGGTCGTGGGGGGGCCCTGAATGTCGACCAGGGCAGATTCCCCCAACCTCCAGGGGACCTCCATAGGGGAAGAAATAGGGACTTCTTGTAAGGAATGGGAGAATGCACTCCCTACCCCAGTGCATCAGCCAGTTTCGGGAATTACTCTGTTCTCTTTGAGATGTTCTTTCACCCCAAATACTGTCGCTGTGAGAGACAGACCTGCCCACCCTGTTGCTGTGTCAGGCCCTTAGGATAGGTTTATCAGTGTTCAGTGCTGAGAACAGAACAGACATTGCCCTTGATACGGCGTTACTTGGAATGTGTGGAGGGTTGATGAGTGTATGATAATTCACTTGTGTGATACATCACATCTGTATTTTAGAGTTTGAGAGTTGCTTTAAAGCAGGTGCTGGGAAGAGATGGTGTTGAGTTCATCCAGCTAAAAATTTTTGATCCATGTTTTCCAGACAGAAGAAAAGGTCTCTTTTCGCAAAGACAGATGATCTTGGGTTCTTGCCTCTCAGCTCTTCTTTCGTGGGCCGACAGTAGTCTGATTTGAAGTGCTGTATATTGTATACCTTGGCAGATTTGCTTTCTTTCTGTTCTTTGTGTTGCCCTTTGGGTGATGCCTCGTGTCTGTACTTGCATGATGAAATCTTGTCGTCTGACGAGGTCCTATGTTCATAACAGTGAGGAGATAACAAAGATCATCTTGAGAGATATTTATATCTTTAATAAAATAGAAACTGTGCAGAGAAACATTGATTTACAGCCTATGCATTGCTGGTTAGAGATTTCCCAGGTAGAAGAGCATAGATTGTATTTCCCATCCCGTATTTTAGGATGTACCTTCTTCCATTTGACAAGAGATCCTATTTCCAGGGTCCCTGGGAGAAATTATCTGTCCAGCTTATGTGGTGAACTGCTACCAAGGTTCCCTAAAGGGAGGGAGCTTAACTCAGTTCTATCTAGAACTCTTTATCAGCTAGATCAGTTAATTTTGTCTTTAAATTAAGAATTAACGAGTAGAGGAGGAGACTGTGATCAGAAAATCCTTAGTGGCTTGAGGGAAATCTTCTGTTTGTTTCGGGCAGTGTAGTTTCCTTGAAGACTGTGTCAGGTTGAGAACTTTTCTTGACCGTACTTCTTTGGAGATAACTTTCACTTAAATTGTTTGCCCTAGTGGTCCTGATATAAAAAAGGAAATCTACTCTAGATTTCTCTCTCTCTCTCTTTTTCCCCTCTTTTCTGCAGCCTCCTGTATACTTTTGTCCTTAGAAATCCCTGGTTTGGAGATTATTTATTTATGAGTGATCAAGGTGATAACATACTTCAAGTAGCCTGGTTTCAAGAAGCCATTACGAATTCTTAAAGTTCTTTGTCTCAGGTTTCATCTTCAGATTTTCCTCAAGAAAATTCTTTGGCTAGGTGAAAGAAAGTGCACAGAGATATGGAACTAACAAAGATAAATTAGGACCTTTTGAGATCTCTGTAAACATTCCCTGACTCATGGAAAGATGTCATCTCCTGGTGTTTAACTTGTGAAAATCTACCCATTTCTTCCTCTTTTAAATCAACTCTCTGCTCGATTACTACTGCTAAATTAATTGGCCATTATGGTAAGCTGATCTGTTTCTTATTCAGTAAGGTTTATTTTGAGAATGTATTAAATTAAACATACTTATAAATCCAGATTATATTATCATAATAGAGGGGAAACAAGGATTCTAGTTGGCAGATACTTGGGAATTCCAAGTTAGAGTGTTGTTAATGTAGTTCCAACACCAGATAAATATAATTACCTTCAATGAAGCTTAGAGGCATTCTCATTGCCAAATCTTATTTCAGAATTCCTTTCGTGTTCATATTTCTTAGCTTCTGGTTAATTTCACATCACACCTTTTAATGTCACTACACATGTGAGCCAAAGATGGTGCATATACGACCAAAGCATTTGGTTTCAAATGTGAAAAATGGAACCAAATGGAAAAAACAAGGAGGGGATGCAATATCGATTAGTAGTTAAGTGCATAGGCTCTGGAATAAATCTGTTTTTTTTTTTAAAAACAGGAACCAAAAAAGGTACTGCATTTTTTTGTGTGTGTGGAATAAAAACGTTCTCTGAGTTGTGCTGTCTTCATAAGACTTTTGACATGGTCTTGACCCACTGTGTGTAACAGCTTCAGGTGTCTCCCCATAGGTGAACTATTATTGTCCACTGTTCTTGAAAGTTAAGGAATTGCTTGCTCAGGGTCAGCTGATGGCTGGTGAACGTAGTTTGGCCTTTTGCATTCTGTGAGATGACAGTTCGTACTAAGGTGTCCATCAGGTAAAGCGATCTCAGGTGAAAATTGCAGAGTTACACATCTGTTTCTGAATAGAATGCTGAGCTCCCATGAGAAAGAGTCCAACTTCATAGTTCACTTGAAGCAGAAGGTGGTTTGTTGTTTTATTTTTTTCCCCTGAATGTAACTGTGCTCTGATATGGTCTGAAAGGATCCAATAAATAAGTGGCAGATTCAGTAGTTGGGCAGTGGGATTTGATATGTTTCTTTTCACTGTTAACCAGATAAATAGGCATAAGGAAGTAGCAGAGTGTTGGAAACGAGTTTCCCAAATTAGCTTTGTTTATAAAGTTTGAACATGTCAGAAACAGACAGATTTATTACATCTTTTCTACCAATGTCACTTTTTTCCCTCAGTCCCTTCTTCTCTCTGTTACTGCCTGCAGTAGTGAATTACAGTCACTCATGCTTGGTAGAGTTTCAATAAAGAGATTATTTGGCCCCAAAACATATTGTTTGACCCCTTCCCCCGCTGCTCCCCAAGGTGTAGCATGATTCTGTGTTTTGAACCAGTATGTTTCAGCTGTGAAATGCACTTGTAGGCTGAGCTGAGTGCATGGAAACTCTTACGCTTCTCATTTTAAGCGATCTCCTACTTGGTATGTAGCAAAAAATAATTTTCTAAAACTGTTTTGTCGCTTGTTTTGTAATAAAAACCATGTGAAATACTGAAGTAGGTTGTGTGTTTTCCTAACTCTGATCGTCTGTCCCTGGGTGGGTGAGTTGTCAGTCTGCCCCCGTTCTTGGTGTTCTGAATTCCACGAGGTGGGGGAAGGTCCGGGACGCGGGGCGGGGTGGGGAACCGGTGTGTGTGGAGAGGGCTGCCAGGTTCTGCCCCTTAAAGTCGGGGGCTGAAGGAGGCGGCATCCCAGTCCGGAGAAAGCGTTGCTCGTCTGAGAGCAGCTGCGGGTCCAGAGGAGAGTCCGCGGGAAAGTGGGAAGGAAGGAGGAAGGGAGCGGGATGACGAGACCCCTGCTGCGGCCCGCCGGGCTCGGACCGTTCGTCCTGACGTGGCTGCCGCTGCCCGCGTCTCCGGGGAAAGGAGTCCAGGCCAGGAGGGCCAGGCCCGCGCCGCCGTGCCCGCCACTGCGCCCCCTGCTCGGCGGGGGACGGCCCCGGGGCTCGACCGCTGCGGGGGCTGCCGCGTCTGCGCCGCGGCCGAGGGCGAGGCCTGCGGCGGGGCGCTCGGCCGGCCGTGCGCCGCCCGCGCCCCGGCTCCTCGGCGGCGGGGGACGGCCGCACCTACCCCAGCCTGTGCGCGCTCCGCGCCGAGAACAGCGCCGTGCGCCTCCGTGGCGCGCTCCCGGCAGTGGCGGTGCGGAAGCGGGGGACTGTGGAGCCCCAGATGAGCGGAGGGCCGTGCGCTCTCCGCGCCCTCTTCAGGAGCGAGTTCCGTTCGCGCGGTTCTCCCTGCTGCATCGCCAGAGCGATTCAACGCCTCCTAGGTACTGATTTTCTTCCCTCCTTGGGTGTCCGGTTACCGGTTCCCATGTGGTTGCTCCCCAATTTCCTCCCTATAGCTGGTGGCCGCCGTCTTCCCTTTTATTTTCAAATCGGGGTGACAGGTCTGGTCTCATGCGACCGCAGTGAATACACAGTGGGAGACCGAAGAGAGGAGGGGGAGGGAAAGCGGAGAGAGAGGGAGGAGAGAGGTGATGCCTGATGCGGTCAGGCAGCGAGGGTCGTCCCCCACCCCCACCCCCGCCCAAAGAATGGAGCATCTCTTTGCGGGGACCAGAAGCGCAGGCTGGCTCAGGAGCAAGTACAACTTCATCGCCGCCGTGGTGGAGACGGTGGCCCCGTCCGTGGTCCACTTACAGCTGTTCCGCGGGTAAAGGAGGTCGGAGGAGGACGTAAGCTCCCCGGGCTAACTGTTCCCGAGCGCCTCCCTGCTCCTGGCCCCGCGCAACCACTCTCCCAGCACAATTTAGTTGTAAACACCACGGTGAGGAAATCAGACGGCTCAAAGAGGTTGCATAGCCTGTTGGTCGTTTAGCCAAAGAGCAGAGACACAAGGATTCTGACTTCCAAGTCTGGGCTACTCCTCTCTCTCAGACAAGTTCAAGGTCAGAGGTAAGAGCCAGAAGGCACCTTGATGGTGATCATTGCCCAGCCCCTTCTTTTGCATGTAAGGAATCCCAAACCCAGAGAGCAAGAGAAACTTGTCCTATGTCACAAGGCCAGTTAGTAGTGGAACCTAAGCCGGGACCAGACTTCTCTGACTCCCTCCCTGCCTGGGTGCTGGATAATGTAGCACTAGGTCCACTTTTGCCCCCAGTATTACGATTAGGTTAGTCGTCTTTGAAGCAGAGGGGTGCTGCTTTTCCTGGAAAAGCAGAGTTGGAATCAGCTCTCAGTCCTGTTTCCAAGAGACGGCCAGGACATTGAACACAGAGTCTAATTACATGTGGAGAGAATGAAAACAGGCAGGGAAAAGTAAAATGTCTGAGGAAACTGTGGTGGAAGAATGTTTCATAAATGCCAGGTTCCCATGCTTCCGGACTATGGCGGATGCCCTGATTTGCCCGCCTTTTGCTTATGCTGTTGTCTTGCTGAGACAGGTCGCCTCTCAGCAGTGAGGATATTCCTGCATCCAGTGGCTCTGGGTTCATAGCATCTGAGGATGGGCTTATTGTTACCAATGCCCACGTCCTCACGAACCAGCAGCGGATCCAGGTGGAGCTCCAGAGCGGGGTCCAGTATGAAGCCACTGTCAAGGACATTGACCATAAATTGGATCTTGCCCTGATTAAAACTGAGCCAAATGTGAGTCTGCGATCCAAGGATTTTCATCAACTTGCTGATATTTTCTTCCCCACCCCACCACATGTCTTTTCTCCCTGGCATATACTTTTTTTTTTTTTTCTAGTTTGCTTTTTTTCTATTCTTCACTCCTTCTTTTGTTTATTTTCTTCCATGCCTGTCTGTATGTCTGTAACAATTTTTATTAACTACCCAGCTGTCTTTTTTTCTCCTTCAGTTCCTTCTTCAACAGATGCTGCTTCTGGGAAACTTATTTCTCTGCTTGTCTCAGAACACCGGAAATGATTGTAATGGATTCAAAGCTGCTAAGGAGTGCTTTGAGTTCCTTGCTATACGAAGTGTGGTCTGCACCCCAGCAGCATTGACATCATCTGAGAATTTTTTAGAAATACAGAAACTCAGACCCTACCCAGGTCTACTGATCACTGGGAGATTCATATGCACATTAAGGAGAAGCACTGCTTTGGGTGACCTCCTTTCTGTTCGTGGCTTATTAACTTTGTAAACTTCTGAGCTGGAATGGTGCTAAGTAAATTGCTAATGTCAGTTTATGTGCATCAGTTACTTCACTGGCGGTTTACTTATTGTAATTTCTACAAGCAATAATTTTAGATTTTTAGAGATGATCCCTATCATCTTAACAGGTGAGAGTTTAGTGGTAGTTGGAGTGTAAGGAGGAAGACTCAGGCAGTTGTAGAAACTAGGTGGGTGGGTGATTCTTGCATTATAAATGCCGAAATGGTGGAGACCATGTCATATATGGATTGTATACAAATGCTGATTGATTCCAGTTTTAATTTGTCCATCTGGTCCCTCCTCACCCACGTGCAGACTGAACTTCCTGTATTGCTGCTGGGAAAGTCATCTGACCTGTGAGCTGGCGAGTTCGTGGTGGCCTTGGGTAGCCTGTTTTCACTGCAGAACACAGGGACGGCAGGCACTGTCAGCGCCACACGGCGAGAGGGCAAAGAGCTGGGGCTGAAGGATTCAGGCGTGGACTATATCCAGACGGATGCCATAATTAATGTAAGTCACAGGGGTAGGCTGTCCTCAGCCCATAAGATACTGGCAATGCGGTGAGAAGAACACTTCAGGGGGCCTTCTTTTCCCTTTGGCCTTTCGGGGATGTCCAGAGATCAGGTCTATCCTCATGAGAGGTACGGAATGCCACGCTGTTAGAGGTGAGCCTGTTTGATGTGATAACTGGATGGTCTCCTAGGGTCTGTCGCAGAGATCACTGCTTCCGTAGGAGGTGGCGGTCCTCTTGCTGTTGTTCTTTACCTGCACCGACTTCGGAGATGATCATGATGGGGCCCAATTTCGCCTGCCCTGGGGAAACGGGCTCACTAGGGCAGGCTGTTTTTGGGAAACCTCTTTGGGAACTATATATAGATGACTGGGAGAAAAGTACTGATGGCTTTTTCAAATTCTGTCTTCAGCATGGGAATTCTGGGGGGCCTCTGGTGAATTTGGTAAGTGACCACTTTCCTCGCTGCTTCACGCTGCTGCTTAACTTTCAAAAACCTGACAAATTTCATGATGCAGACTGGGATGTCGCTCTTGTGCGGAGATGTGTGGTACGATGCTTTTCTATTATTGCATCTTAAGTAAAGGGCTAGGAAAAATGTAAGATCTGTGATGGATTTGTCCTCTTGGCATGTGAGCTCCTCCAGCCGAGGGGGTCAGGGTTTCCTTAACACCTACTTACATCTCTTCAGTGTGCTTTCTACTTTCATTGGGTACTTTAAAAAGTCCTGGGTACTAAACCCAAATTATGTCAAATGACAACTGTACTATGTAATGTATATCCTTGAAGACCCCCTGCTTCTGCATGTGAAGAACTAAGTCTCATTCCAAAGTGCTAATTTAGTATTGACCTGCTTAGAGACGACAAAAAAGCCACAACAACAATCCGTTGCTCTGTCATGTATTTAATTCTTAAATTTTATTTAACGTCCCTAATGGAAATGCCAGGGTTTCTAGTTGCTCAGATACAACAAGAGAGCAGTGCTGTTTGACACACGGCCTGTGATCATGCTCTCTGAGTCCCTTGAGCTGATTGTTTCTGGCTTCTCTTCACATATTACATTTGCTTGTCGGAGGAGGAATTGTGTGTGAAATCACTGAGCGCTTTTTATTCCTAACATTTTTTTTTTCACATCTTCATTGGAGTTTCAATGCTTTACAATGATGTGTTAGTTTCTGCTGTATAACAAAGTGAATCAGCTATATGTATACATATATCCCCAAATCCCCTCCCTCTTGCGTCTCCCTCCCACCCTCCCTATCCCACCCCTCTAGGTCGTCACAAAGCACCGAGCTGATCTCCCTGTGCTCTGCAGCAGTTTCCCACTAGCCATCCATTTTACATTTGGTAGTGTATATATGTCCATGCCACTCTCTCACTTAATTCCAGCTTCCCCTTCCCCCCCGTGCCCTCAAGTCTGTTCTCTACATCTGCGTATGTATTCCTGCCCTGCCACTAGGTTCATTAGTACTGCTTTTTAAAATTCCATATTTTTTGGATTCCATATATACATGTTAGCATATGGTATTTGTTTTTCTTCTTTCTGACTTACTTCACTCTGTATGACAGATTCTTGGTCAATCCACCTCACTACAAATAACCCAGTTTTGTTTCTTCTTATGGCTGAGTAATATTCCATTGTATATATGTGCCACATCTTCTTTATCCAGTCATCTGTTGATGGACATTTAGGTTGCTTCCATGTCCTGGCTATTGTAAATAGAGCTGCAATGAACATTGTGGTACATGTCTCTTTTTGAATTATGGTTTTCTCAGGGTATATGCCCAGTAGTGGGATTGCTGGGTTATATGGTAGTTCTATTTTTAGTTTTTAAAGGAATCTCCATACTGTTCTCCATAGTGGCTGTATCAATTTACATTCC